CTTTAAACCCCGTGACCCCTTTTGACCCCCGGGTGGTTAAATTGTGAAACCCGGGGGACACTTGTGACACCAGGGTGGTACTTTTGACAAAAAAAGGGGGGGACACTTTTTGAAACCCGGGGGGAAATTGTGACCCAGGGGACACTTGGGCACCAGGGGGGGGTACTTTTGGGCCCAGGGGACACTTGTGACACCAGGTGGAAATTGTACCACCAGGGGTGCCCCTTGTTTAAAACCCCGGGTGGTACTTGTGACAAACCCGGGGGGCACTTTTTGGGCACCCCGGGGGTACTTTTTTCACCAGGGGGACCCTTTTGACACCCCGGGTGGGTACTTGTTAAAACCCGGGTGAACTTGTGCCACCCCGGGGGGTTTCTTGTGGGCCCAAAGTTTACAAATTTTGACACCAGGGGGTACTTGTGACACCAAGGGGGGACACTTGTGAAAACCCGGGTTTGGTTTCTTTTGGGCACCAGAAGGGGAACTTGTTTAAAACCCAAGGGACCCCCAGAGTGACACCTTTTGACACCCGGGGGGTTTTACTTTTGACACCCCAAATTGAATTTGACCCCCAGGGTTTTTGGAAAATGGGGACAACCCCGGGTTACACTTTGGGCACCAAAGGGGGGTAAAATTTTTACACCAGAGGCACTTGTGACACCAGGGTGGAAATTTTTTGGCACCAGGGTGACAAATTGTGACACCAGGGGGACCCCTTGTGCCACCAAAGGGGGAAACTTTTGGGCACCAGGGGGAATACTTTTTGACAACCCGGGTGGGTACTTGGGGACAAAGGGGGGCACTTTTGGGCACCCGGGGATAAATTTTTACACCAAGGGGGAAAAAGTGACACCAGGGTGGTACTTTGGGCACCAGGGGGGGACACTTGGGGACACCAGGGTTACTTGTTACACCAGGTGACCCCCGGACCCCAGGGGGGTCTTGGACCCAGATACACTTTTTAAAAACCAAGGTGACACCAGAGTGACACTTGGGGACAAGGGGGGGTTTTACTTTGACCAAACCCAAATGAACCCCTTGGGAAAAAGGGTGGAAATTGTGACACCAGGGGGGGACACTTGTGACACCAGGGGGTAATTTTTACACCAGGGTGACACTTTTTTACAAACCCGGGGGAAACTTGGACACCGGGTGATACTTGTGGGCCCCCAAAGGGTTTAAACTTGGTAACCAGGGGAAAATTGTGACACCGGGTTACACTTGTTGGGCACCAGGGTTTATTTCCCTTTTTACACCATTTTGCACTTTCAAAAAAACCATTTTACACTTTTGAAAAACCCGGGGGAAAACTTTTGACACCAGGGTTATTACTTGTGGGCAAACCGGGGATACTTGGACCCCCAGGGTTTTATACTTGTGACACCAGGGGGACATTTGAAAAAAACCAGGGTGACACCTTTTGACACCAAAAGGTACACTTTGTACTCCAGGGTGACACTTTTGACACCAGGGGTTTTTTTTTGGAAAAAACCAGGGTGACACTTTTACCCCAGGGGGGACACTTTTTGGGCACCAGGGGGACACTTGTTAACCAGGGGGGGATACTTTTGGGGCACCCCGGGTGCCCTTTTTGAAAAAACCAGGGGACAAATTTGACAAACCCGGGGGGACACTTGTGGACACCAAAATGACACCAAAGGTACACCAGAGTGAACTTTTTTAAACCAAAGGGGAAAACTTAAAAACCCCCGGGAGACACTTGTGACACCAGGGGGGACAAAATTGTGACCCAGGTGGGCCCTTTGGAAAAAAAAGTGACAAACCCAAGGGGAAACCCGAGTTGGGCATTTTGAAAAAACCAGTGGAACCTGTGACCAAAACCCGGGTTACCCCTTGTAAAAACCCGGGGGGTTTCTTGTGACAACCAGAGTTACATTTTGGGGCAAAACCCGGGTGACACTTTTGACACCAGGGGGACACTTTGACACCAGGGGGACACTTGTGACAAACCCAAAAAATTTTGGGGGAAAAAGGGCCCCGGGGGTTTTTTTTCCCCCATTTTTTTCCCCCCCCCTTTTTTTTAATTTTTTAACCCCCCCCCAACCCCAAAAAACCCCCCCGGGGGGGGTTTTTTTAAAACCCTTTTTCCCCGGGGGGGGGGTTTTTGGGGCCCCTTTTTAAAAAAAAGGGGGGGGCCTTTGGGGGGAAAAAATTTGGAAACCCAAAATTGTGGGCCCGGGGGGGTTTTTTTGGGGGGGGGAAATTTTTTGGGGGGGGTGGGAAAAGGGGGAAAAGGGGGGGGTTTGGGCCCCGGGGCCCCCTTTTTGGGGGGGGAATTTTAAAAGGGGGTGGCCCCCCGGGGGGGGGGGGGGGGGGGGGGGCCCGGGGGGGGGGGGGGGGGGCCCCCCCCCCCCCCCCCCCGGAAACCCCCCTTTTTTTTTTTTTTTGGGGGGGGTTTTTTTTCCCCCCCCCCTTTTTTTTTTTTTTTGGGGGGCCCCCCAAAAAGGGGGGGCCCCCCCCCCCAAAACCCCCCCCAAAAATTTTTCCCTGGGTTTTTTCCCCCCCAAAAAAGGGGTTTTTTTTTTTCCCCCCCCTTTTTTTTTTCCCCCCCCCCCCCCCGGGGGGCCCCCCCTTTTTTTTTTTTTTAATTTTTTTTTTTTTTAAAAAAAATTTTCCCCCTTTTTTAAACCCCCCCCCCCCCCCCCCCCCCCCCCCCCCCCCCCCCCCCCCCCCCCCCCCCCCCCCCCCCCCCCCCCCCCCCCCCCCCCCCCCCCCCCCCCCCCCCCCCCCCCCCCCCCTTTTTTTCCCCCCCCCCCCCTTTTTTTTTTCCCCCCCCCCCCCCCCCCCCCTTTTTGGCCCCCCCCCCCTTTTTTTTTTCCCCCCCCCCCAAAAAATTTTTTTTTTTTTTGAAATTAACCCCCTTTTTTGGGGGGCTTTTTGGTTTTTTTTCCCCCCTTTTTTTTTTTTGGTTTTTTTTTTTTTCCCCGGGGGGGAAGGGGGGGGGGGGGGGAAAAAAAAAAAAAAAAAAAAGGGGGGGGAAAAAAAAAAAAAGGGGGGGGGTTTTTTAAAAAAAAGGGGGGGGGGGGGGGGGGGGGGGAAAAAAAAAAAAAAAAAGGGGGGGGGGGGGGGGGGAAAAAAGGGGGGAAAAAAGGGGGGGGTTTTTTTTTTTGGGGGGGTTGGGGGGGGGGGGGGGAAAAAAAAAAAAAAGGGAAAGGGGGGGGGGGGGTTTTTGGAAAAAAAAAAAAATTTTTTTTTTTAAAAGGGGGGGGGGGGGGAAAAGGGGGGGGGGGGGGAAAAAGGGGGGGGGGGGGGGGGGGAAAGGGGGAAAAGGGGGGGGGGGGAAAAAAAGGGGGGGGGGGGGGGGGGGGGGGGGGGGGGGGGGGGGGGGGGGGGGGGGGTTTTGGGTTTTTTTGGGGGGGTTTTTTTTTTCCCCCTTTTTTTTTTTTTTTTCTTTTTTGTTTTTTCCCCCCCCCCCCCCCTTTTTTTTTTTTTTTTTTTTTTTTCCCCCCCTTTTTTTTTTTTTTTTTTCCCCCTTTTCCCTTTTTTTCTTTTTCCCCCTTTTTTTTTTTTTTTTTTTCCCCGGGGCCCCCCCCTTTTTTTTTCCCCCCCCCTTTTTTCCCCCCTTTTTTTTTTTTTTTTTTTTTTTTTTTTTCTCCCCCCTTTTCCCCCCCCTTTTTTTTCCCCCTTTTTTTTCCCCCCCCCCCCCTTTTTTTTTTTTTTTCCCCCCCCTTTTTTTTTTCTCCTTTTTTACCCCCCCCTTTTTTTCCCCCCCCCCCCCGGTTTTTTTTTTTTTTTTCCCCGGGGCCCCCCCTTTTTTTTTCCCACTGAGAAGCATTAATGGGTCTGGCGGCTTACACTGCATCAATCTGGTGACTTACCCTGCATCAATATGGTGACTTACCCTGCATCAATCTGGTGACTTACCCTGCATCAATCTGGTGACTTACCCTGCATCAATCTGGTGACTTACCCTGCGTCAATCTGGTGATTTACCCTGCATCAATCTGGTGACTTACCCTGCATCAATCTGGTGACTTACCCTGCATCAATCGGTGACTTACCCTGCATCAATCTGGTGACTTACCCTGCATCAATCTGGTGACTTACCCTGCATCAATCTGGTGACTTACCCTGCATCAATCTGGTGACTTACCCTGCATCAATCTGGTGATTTACCCTGCATCAATCTGGTGACTTACCCTGCATCAATCTGGTGACTTACCCTGCATCAATCTGGTGACTTACCCTGCATCAATCTGGTGACTTACCCTGCATCAATCTGGTGACTTACCCTGCATCAATCTGGTGACTTACCCTGCATCAATCTGGTGATTTACCCTGCATCAATCTGGTGACTTACCCTGCATCAATCTGGTGACTTACCCTGCATCAATCTGGTGACTTACCCTGCATCAATCTGGTGACTTACCCTGCATCAATCTGGTGACTTACCCTGCATCAATCTGGTGACTTACCCTGCATCAATCTGGTGACTTACCCTGCATCAATCTGGTGACTTACCCTGCATCAATCTGGTGACTTACCCTGCATCAATCTAGTGACTTACCCTGCACCAATTTGGTGACTTACCCTGCACCCATTTGGTGACTTACCCTGCACCAATTTGGTGACTTACCCTGCATCAATATGGTGACTTACCCTGCATCAATATGGTGACTTACCCTGCATCAATATGGTGACTCTCCCTGCATCAATATGGTGACTTATTCCAACAGTTTGTTGCTTACAAACAATTTGTATCAATTTGGTGGACAACCAGATAGCGGACAGTGGACATCAGGGGCGTCAAGGTAACTTACAACGGACATCACGGACATCAATATAGATAACTTAGTGGACATCAGGAACGTCAAAATAACTGACAGTGGACATCAAGAACGTCAAGATAACTGACAGCGGACATCATGAACGTCAAGAAAACTGACAGTGGACATCATGAACGTCCAGATAACCGACAGTGGACATTAAGAACGTCAAGAAAACTGACAGTGGACATCATGAACGTCCAGATAACTTACAATGGACATCAAGGACTATCCTCTTGCTGATGGAGGGAGGGACCTTGTTCGTGGCGATGCAAAGGTAAGCTCCCATGTCCTTGCGAGAGACCTCCTTCAACACCAGCTCCCCGGAGTCTATGTGCTTAACAACTGCAGATAAACAAAAGTGTTAAGACAAGCGGGTGATGAAGAGGCAGTGTGAAGGATGGGGAAGAAACATGTGATGAAATGGGACTGAGAAGGATAAAGAAGAGCAAGGTATTGAGAGAGAGGAAAGAGGAAGAAAAACTGTAGTTGTATTAAATGGAGAGGAAAGGAGAGGAAACTAGATGACTTACACGGAGTAAAAATTAAGAAGCACGAGGAGGTGTGTTTGTGTGAAAGAGACAGAGAGAGAGAGAGAGAGAGAGAAAAGAGAGAGAGAGAGAGAGAGAGAGAGAGAGAGAGAGAGAGGAGAGAGAGAGACAGACAGACAGACAGAGAGAGAGAGAGAGAGAGAGAGAGAGAGAGAGAGAGAGAGAGAGAAAAGAGAGACAGACAGACAGACAGAGACAGACAGAGAGAGAGAGAGAGAGAGAGAGAGAGAGAGAGAGAGAGAGAGAGAGAGAGAGAGAGAAAATATGAACCTGGTAATAAAGAAGAAAAGGGGAGGAGGAAAAAGATCTAGACGTCATAAAAGAAATGAAAGTAGAAACAAAAACAAATTGAAATAGAGGGGATGGAAAGAGTAGATTTTAAAATGACAGTTTTGAGGATAAGTTAGGTAAGGTTGGTCAGGAAACAGTTATAAGAATGACAACGTTAGTTATGTCAGTGTATTACAGTATACAACTGACATTAAGATTAATCAACATGTATAAATTACTTTGATGAAATTAAGACACGTGTGTAATATCTGGGTATCTTTATTGTAGACGTTTCGCCATCCAGTGGCTTTTTTTTTATTATCACACTGGCCTATTCCCACCAAGGCAGGGTGGCCCGAAAAAGAAAAACGTTCACCATCATTCACTCCATCACTGTCTTGCCAGAAGGGTGCTTTACTCTACAGTTTTTAAACTGCAACATTAACACCCCTCCTTCAGAGTGCAGGCACTGTACTTCCCATCTCCAGGACTCAAGTCCGGCCTGCCGGTTTCCCTGAACCCCTTCATAAATGTTACTTTGCTCACACTCCAACAGCACGTCAAGTATTAAAAACCATTTGTCTCCATTCACTCCTATCAAACACGCTCACGCATGCCTGCTGGAAGTCCAAGCCCCTCGCACACAAAACCTCCTTTACCCCCTCCCTCCAACCTTTCCTAGGCCGACCCCTACACCGCCTTCCTTCCACTACAGACTGATACACTCTTGAAGTCATTCTCTTTCGCTCCATTCTCTCTACATGTCCGAACCACCTCAACAACCCTTCCTCAGCCCTCTGGACAACAGTTTTGGTAATCCCGCACCTCCTCCTAACTTCCAAAATACGAATTCTCTGCATTATATTCACACCACACATTGCCCTCAGACATGACATCTCCACTGCTTCCAGCCTTCTCCTCGCTGCAACATTCATCACCCATGCTTCACACCCATATAAGAGTGTTGGTAAAACTATACTCTCATACATTCCCCTCTTTGCCTCCAAGGACAAAGTTCTTTGTCTCCACAGACTCCTAAGTGCACCACTCACCCTTTTCCCCTCATCAATTCTATGATTCACCTCATCCTTCATAGACCCATCCGCTGACACGTCCACTCCCAAATATCTGAATACATTCACCTCCTCCATACTCTGTCCCTCCAATCTGATATCCAATCTTTCATCACCTAATATTTTTATCCTCATAACCTTACTCTTTCCTGTATTCACCTTTAATTTTCTTCTTTTGCACACCCTACCAAATTTATCCACCAATCTCTGCAACTTCTCTTCAGAATCTCCCAAGAGCACAGTGTCATCAGCAAAGAGCAACTGTGACAACTCCCACTTATGTGTGATTCTTTATCTTTTAACTCCACGCCTCTTGTCAAGACCCTCGCATTTACTTCTCTTACAACCCCATCTATAAATATATTAAACAACCACGGTGACATCACACATCCTTGTCTAAGGCCTACTTTTACTGGGAAATAATTTCCCTCTTTCCTACATACTCTAACTTGAGCCTCACTATCCTCGTAAAAACTCTTCACTGCTTTCAGTAACCTACCTCCTACACCATACACTTGCAACATCTGCCACATTGCCCCCCTATCCACCCTGTCATACGCCTTTTCCAAATCCATAAATGCCACAAAGACCTCTTTAGCCTTATCTAAATACTGTTCACTTATATGTTTCACTGTAAACACCTGGTCCACACACCCCCTACCTTTCCTAAAGCCTCCTTGTTCATCTGCTATCCTATTCTCCGTCTTACTTTTAATTCTTTCAATAATAACTCTACCATACACTTTACCAGGTATACTCAACAGACTTATCCCCCTATAATTTTTGCACTCTCTTTTGTCCCCTTTGCCTTTATACAAAGGAACTATGCATGCTCTCTGCCAATCCCTAGGTACCTTACCCTCTTCAGTACATTTATTAAATAATTGCACCAACCACTCCAAAACTATATCCCCACCTGCTTTTAACATTTCTATCTTTATCCCATCAATCCCGGCTGCCTTACCCCCTTTCATTTTACCTACTGCCTCACGAACTTCCCCCACACTCACAACTGGCTCTTCCTCACTCCTACAAGATGTTATTCCTCCTTGCCCTATACACGAAATCACAGCTTCCCTATCTTCAGCAACATTTAACAATTCCTCAAAATATTCCCTCCATCTTCCCAATACCTCTAACTCTCCATTTAATAACTCTCCTCTCCTATTTTTAACTGACAAATCCATTTGTTCTCTAGGCTTCCTTAACTTGTTAATCTCACTCCAAAACTTTTTCTTATTTTCAACAAAATTTGTTGATAACATCTCACCCGCTCTCTCATTTGCTCTCTTTTTACATTGCTTCACCACTCTCTTAACCTCTCTCTTTGTCTCCATATAGTCTTCCCTCCTTGCATCACTTTTACTTTGTAAAAACTTCTCATATGCTAACTTTTTCTCCCTTACTACTCTCTTTACATCATCATTCCACCAATCGCTCCTCTTCCCTCCCGCACCCACTTTCCTGTAACCACAAACTTCTGCTGAACACTCTAACACTACATTTTTAAACCTACCCCATACCTCTTCGACCCCATTGCCTATGCTCTCATTAGCCCATCTATCCTCCAATAGCTGTTTATATCTTTCCCTAACTGCCTCCTCTTTTAGTTTATAAACCTTCACCTCTCTCTTCCCTGATGCTTCTATTCTCCTTGTATTCCATCTACCTTTTACTCTCAGTGTAGCTACAACTAGAAAGTGATCTGATATATCTGTGGCCCCTCTATAAACATGTACATCCTGAAGTCTACTCAACAGTCTTTTATCTACCAATAACTACCTATAACTAAACCCCTTTCTATACAAAGTTCAATCAAAGGGCTCCCATTATCACTTACACCTGGCACCCCAAACTTACCTACCACACCCTCTCTAAAAGTTTCTCCTACTTTAGCATTCAGGTCCCCTACCACAATTACTCTCTCACTTGGTTCAAAGGCTCCTATACATTCACTTAACATCTCCCAAAATCTCTCTCTCTCCTCTGCATTCCTCTCTTCTCCAGGTGCATACACGCTTATTATGACCCATTTCTCGCATCCAACCTTTACTTCAATCCACATAATTCTTGCATTTACACATTCATATTCTCTTTTCTCCTTCCATAACTGATCATTCAACATTACTACTACCCCTTCCTTTGCTCTAACTCTCTCAGATACTCCAGATTTAATCCCATTTATTTTCCCCCACCGAAACTCCCCTACCCCCCTTCAGCTTTGTTTCGCTTAGGGCCAGGACATCCAACTTCTTTTCATTCATAACATCAGCAATCATCTGTTTCTTGTCATCCGCACTACATCCACGCACATTTAAGCATCCCAGTTTTATAAAGTTTTTCTTCTTCTCTTTTTTAGTAAATGTCTACAGGAGAAGGGGTTACTAACCCATTGCTCCCGGCATTTTAGTCGCCTCATACGACACGCATGGCTTACGGAGGAAAGATTCTTTTCCACTTCCCCATGGACAATAGAAGAAATAAAGAAGAACAAGAGCTATGTAGAAAAAGGAGAAAAACACACATTTCTGACGGGTTAAGATTTACTGGCATTAATTAACTTTAAAGAAAAATATCATTTTCGTGATACACATTTTTAAGCAGTTATTTCTTCAATAAATTTGAGCTGTTTGGCAAAATGATCGTTGCTTTATTATCCGAGACTGCGAACTCTGGCTAAAACGTATGACATAAACACAGTCTGCCTCACATCTCTTTCCAGCGGTGCTATTCTGCTTAATAGATGTCGTCCAGGTTTTGAAAAAAAACTAATCCTGCCGTTTTGGGTAATGGAAAGTAGATTTAGAAAATGATGTGCCATCGTCCATCCACTAAAATTAAAGTTCAGTGAATGTTCTCAAATGTTTGCGTCAGGAGACCCTATACAGTGTACCTAGAGTGAATGTTTGCGTCAGGATACCCATACGATGTACACTGTACCTAAAGTGAATGTTTGTGACTTAGTACCCATATTATGTATACCGTATCTACAATGTATATCAGGATACCCATACTATATATTATATATGAGTATATATACTCTACCACCTTTGAATGCTTGTGTCAGGATGTCAATTTTATATATACTGTACCTACAGTGAATGTTGTACTAGGATACGGTGAAATGTCTTGAAAGTGTGGTATAAACACTCAGACCTTCTGATAAATAGGCATATGTGTGTCTAATAAAACTGGTAAAGGGTCAAATGCAGAATAGCATACAGAAATTTGTTCAGGATAATTCCTACACTTCATTATTTATATATTACTGTGTTGTTATTACGATTTTTTATACTTATGCAACAGATGCATTTTTACCTGTTATATTATTTGCTGCAGAAATGACAAGAACAGTATTTATGACATTAGTCTCATCATATAAAAAGCGTGCAATTATTTACTTGAGTGCGATGTGTGTGATGTGAGCGGTCTTTTAGAAGAATTAGCAATC